GCTGCTCAGAACCTCTCCAGTTGAGCGTGACAGAACAGGGAATGTGGGTGTTGTTCCTCATGGCTCCTTACTGTGGACATGTGGGCAGCATGGACACCTTAATTGGGAGTTTTGTGGGGACTGGAAGGTACTAGGGTGGTGTATGAGGTGAGTAAGACTCAGGCCCTGGGAGGCTTGGGAGGCACTGGAGTGACCTAGGTAGCTGAAGACATGGAGCTATAAACCCCAATCATTGGCTGAGCAGGACTAGAATGGCTTAGCAGGGGGTGAGTTAACTGCAGGATCCTGAAGAGACAATCAGGGACCATCAGGAGAGTGGTGGGCTGAAACTGTGGGACATCCCAAAATGAACAGGAGTGGCAGCCAGAAAAGACAGCAGAGAGGAAGACGATAATTTGATCCAGTGTAGGGAGAACTCACATGGATTGTCCTGAAGAAGGATGAGTTTTATTCTCTTAAGGAATGACTCAAAGGTGGGAGCTCGGAGGGTGCAATCAAAAAGATTAAGGTGGACCAAACAATGGAAGTGGTGAAGTGGCAGGACAGTATTAGGGCCCTGGCCTGGAGCCACCAACCTGCTCAGGGCTATGATGACAGAATAAAACACAGACAAGCTATATATTAATTCCAAGGGGCACTGGAAGGACTGAGGCACAAGGCACTGGTACACAGCTTGATTGGGGGGTACTGGCGGGGTAGGAAGTGATGGAGTGAGTCACAGACGAAGGCAAGTTCAAGGATTGAGAAACAACGCATTTGCGGAAAAGAACACAGGAGCAGATCCTGGCTAATTAGTAACACGTTTGCTAACTCTGCCTCTGGATTTAGTTGAGTCCAAGTCCACAGCTATTGTTTTGTATTGCTTAGGACAGACTCTGAATTTATTTTTGTGTCAATTTATTAATGTCAACTATGGCCTGATCTGCACTGTGTCACGCTGGTCCTCAGCAGGGCAGGCAGGAGCAGAGCATTCAGGTGTCTTCTGGAATCTACCAGCCTGAAGAGAGTAGGGGACCCTCACCAGGAGGCAGGCAGTCAGCGTCAGAGCGCAGCTTCCCCGGGAGTGGGGTGCCCTCTGCGGGGCTCTCGCAGCTGCACTGCCATCAGAGTGCTGCAGACGTCAGGAAGGGCCCTGCCTGCTTAGGCTGCATGGCCTTGGGGTTTAGGTCCTAAATCAGGGCAAATGTGTTAGGTTATCTTCACGAGGTTGGCTGTCGGGAGAAGCTTGGCAGCATGTCGTATCTCTTTTCAGGCTCGTTGCGGAGCTAGGACATAGTCTCTGGTGAGGCTGGTCTCTGAACTGAAGTTTGGCCTGAGAAGGCAGGCATGGCCATAAAAAGCTCACATGAACTGCATCCCATTGGCTCCCAGGGGGTGTATCGGATGCAAGGGAGACTGGTCGTGAGCAGAAAAACCCAGCCTTCATGGAGCTGGAGGGTGAGCTTAGCGGGGTGGACCTTGAGGAGGCTGTTATCTCTCTACCTTTTAGGGGACACCAAACAACCTGGACACCTCCTGGATGGTCTGACCAATGAAAGCTGGGCAGTTACATGGCTGAATAGAGGCCAGAAACCCAATTTGGGGATATCAGCAAGGAGGGTGTTGACAATTGCCTTCTCTGAGACATGGGAAAGATTTATCAGTCCCACAAAGCTATCAATCGAGAAATAGAAAAAATCCTCATTTTTGCACTTGCAGCATTTGGGTGAAATCAATTTTCCAGTCCTGAGTTGGAGAAGAGCCTCGCTCTCGAAGTGTGGGAAAAGGAGGGAGAGTTAGGAGATGGGGTTGGGTGTGCAGGAGCCCCTGGGGAGGAGGAACAGCCGAGGTGGGTCGCTGCATCTGTCCTCAGGGAGAAGTCAGCATCAGCCAGAGGGAGTGCAGGCTGCAGGAGAGAAGGACTCGAGAGGAGCGCAGGAGAGACACAGGTGGGTAGGTTAGGAGGCGAAGAGTGCCTGGAAAGGCGGTGACTCAGCTCCTCACAGGAGTGGTGGGGTGGCCTTTGGCTTTGGAGGAGACAGGGTAGAGAGAAAGATGCAGGAGTAGAAGGAGGAAGGTTTAGCTTGAAGAGCAGAGGGAGGTAACTGTCATACCTGGCATGTCAAAGTGAGAGTGAATGGACACAAGGCCCACAACGGATGCCCCAGGGGAGACTCAGGGCTGTGACAGTGTGGATGAGTGGACAAGAACAGCGCCCCAAAGGCAGCCACACACTGAGAGAATGCAGGTCTTTCCACGGGGTGTTTCTCTGACCAGTGATGGGTTTAGATGGTGTAGAAAGGAGGTGAGCCTCTCCCCCCCAGTGGGCAGAGGGTAAAAAGGCAGGAGTGGGGCAGGAGGAAAGTGTGAGAGGAGAAGACAGGGGTCCCTCAAGATTATGGGATGAGTAGAGGGCAAGTGGGGGCATGTCTAGTGATTGTGAGCCTTAAGAGAGGCCCTGCTACAATGAGTGAAAAAAGGGCCTGTGCTCTAGGGACTCAGTGGGGTCTCCTTTTATGCATTTGTAGAGGGGTTTAGTGAGGAAAGCAAAGCCAAGAACCCAGAAGTGGGAATATCCTGTTACTCAGAGACAGAAACGTGCTGTTTGACGCTGGAGTGTGGGCTCCCGGAGCATATGGGAACGATAACCTGGTTAGTAGCGTGGATCTTGTACCAGCCTGCAAAAGCCATCTCTTCATACCAGGAGAATGGAAGTGTGGCAAGGAGAGTGAGAGACTGTATTACAACAGACGAGAAATAACAGGTTGTAGTCCCCATAGAGCTAGGTCAGGGATGGGATATTGTCACTGGGCAGGTGGGAGTGGTTAGGCTCGAGAAGGATGGTAAATGGTTGTTGTAATGAAGCCAGGGAGGGGGGTGGAGGCGTCCCAGGCTCTGGGGCTGAAATGAAGGGGAAAGGATGGGGGCCGCTGGGGGGGGCAGTGAAGGGGTCACTAGGGTGGCTACATGTGTTGGCTTGTCCAGGGGATGGTCAGTGCCTGATAACCTGTTAATATCTCTTGCCCTAAAAGGGCAACAGGGCAAGTAAGGATGATGAAAAATGAGTATGGGAAAGTGTTGGCCCAACTGGCATCAGAGGGGGTGAGCTTAAGGGTTTGGAGACCTTGCTGCCCAGGCCTACCACAGTAACTGGGCTGGAGGTTCAGTCTTTGGAAAGAAGGCAAAGTGGAACAGCAGGCACTTGTAGTAACTAAAAATGGGACGGACTACCCACCACTGTGAGAGTTACCTGGAGTTAGGCATCCAAGAGGTGCCCTCTTCGACAGCAGCTTTCTTTCTCTCAGTAGCTACATCCTACTCTCAACCTCCGTTTTCCCCAGAATTGACTTTGGAGGACATGAGCGCAGCCTATCAGACAGCTGGCAGGTTGGAAGCTGCACTTCCTTTGTATTATCCGGATTACTTGAGGGCTACATCGTCCCTCTGTCATCTGCCTACGTCACCCTCACGGCCCTGATGCGGCTCCTGCCCTAGCAACCCCACAGCAACCCCAGCGCTGGTGTCGGTCCGCTGTGCTGGTGTCACTGGGACAGCTGGGTGGTTGCTAGTGCTTGGAGGAGCCTCTGTCCGACCTCCGACTGGCTCACTCCTTTACAGCCCCAACCACAGGGTCTGGCCACAGCGTCTCCACATGTTTTTCAATACTGTTCACATTTTTAATACTATTCAAAGTTGGGGTAGTACTTTCATAATATAGTTCCTGGGGGAAACCACCACAGTGGCTACACGCAGAGCACGGTTTTTTCTTTTTTCTTTTGCGGCACTGGGGATCGAACACAGGACCTTGTGCTTGCCAGGCAGGCACTTAGGCTGCCGAGCTACACCCCAAGCCCTACGGTTCTGTTTCGGAGACACTGGTTTAGCTCTAAAATATGATTTCACGGGAACTGACACACGCGCTGTGCCACAGACTGTCCAACAGACAAAGCTGTCACGGGGGAGCTGCTGTGGCAGAGCCACGCCAGGCCTCAAGGCGCAGGCCTGCAAATCAGCATCTTGGGGGGTGAGGCAGGAGGAAGGCGAGTTTAGGCCCTGCCTGCGCCCCTCCGCAATCCCGCCGCACCCCGCCGTGAGGAGAGAAGCACTTGGGCTGCAGCTCAGGGCAACAAGACA